TATTTTCCTACACCTAGCTCTTTCTTGGTTGCGAAGGAGAAGAGTGGTATTGTTTCTATGTCGTAAGTATAAACGAAAAGCTCGTTTGCGTTTTGCTATAGCCTGAGCCACATTTTGGGACCACCATGGGACTCGTTTGTGTTTTGTTGAATATGTTGTCTTTGGGATGGCTTCTTCAGCTGCTGTCAAAATGGTGTCAGTAAGGAAATTGATTCCTTGTTCTGGAGATTGAAATTGGTCGTTATCAATGTTACAAAAAGCTTCAAACTTAACCCAGTCTGCTTTTTTTAGGTTCCAGCGAGGAACAAAAGCAGATGTTGCATCGGCCTCCGAATGGAAGGTCGTCTGCAGTTTAATCGGATAGTGGTCACTATGATGAATGTCACCATCCACCTGCCAATCAAAGAAAGTTGCTATTTGTGGAGAGCAAATAGATAGATCAATGGCCGATTCACTATTGTGTGCGAGAGAAAAGTGAGTATTATCTCCCTTATTTAGAAGAACAAGCTGATGTAAATCCAGAAACCGCTCAACTACTTCGCCGCGCTCATCGGAGACTCGAATGTTCCGACCCCACATTGGATTGTGGGCGTTGAAGTCGCCAAGTAAGAGAAATGGATGCTGAAACTGTGCTATGATTTGGTTAAGATGCCTTTCTAGTGTATGATTATCTGTGTTCGGAGGAATATAAATAGAACAAATATCTATATTGCGACCGTTCAAACGAACTGTACAAGCGACTGCTTGTAACTGTGTATTGAGGGGTATTTGCTGATGAACGAAATCATTATTGATGTAGAGTGCAGTACCGCCATGGCGTCTCTCGCCATCTGTCTCGTCATAGCGGTATAGAGAGTAGTTGAATAAAGAAAAGTTGTAGGGGTCTGTTGGAAGAAGCCAAGTTTCTTGCAAAGCAATAACGATGGGTGCTAGAAGTAAAAAGAACATTTTGCTTTCGGCCCAGTTCGAAACTAGGCCTCGGCAGTTCCACTGGAGTAGGCTGTTTATTGTTGTTCTAAGAGTGAGTATCTGTTTGTAGCAGCACGACGGGGCGAAGCCCAACTTGACGCACGGTTGTGGCCCATTGACACTCTGATAGGAGGACGTGACGTGCGAGCGCTTGACGACTGACTATCCTTTGATGGAGGCTGGGGTCGGGAATCTTTCGACCGCTGGACCCTCTTCCAGTCTGTGGTGGAGCGACCAGCTCCGGTAGAGGGCTTTGGCTTCTGGGCGATCTCCTGTGAGATCTCGGGCTGCGATTCAAGAGGGGAGGAAGGCATCGGGTCACCAAAAATGGTCTCCGTCGCGTCGTTGGTGTTCGTAGATGTGGTCGTAGATGCAGTCAGGGACTTCAGACACTGAAGAGGGGGGAGTGCTGAGATCGGTTCAGTCTGAGTGCTGCATGAGGTGGTCTCTGTACGGGCGGCCTTGGCATAAGACCGACCAGGAGCCGGAGTGGCTGTTTCGGCTTCCACACGGCGACGAGCGTCGGGGTACGAGCAGCCGGACTGAGCTTTGATCTCACAGATACGCTTTTCCTTCTTCCACGTGGGGCACTGTGAGGACGAGACTGAGTGCTCGGGGCTACCACAGCTCAAGCAAGAGACTGGCTTAGTGCATTCGGAGTTCTCATGAGGAGCCTCACCACATCTCTGACAGCGAGCAGCCTGGCGACAAGTGGAGCTACCATGTCCAAATCGTTGGCACTTGAAGCATCGGAGTGGATTTGGGATGAACACCCGGACATCTTTTTTGAGCCAGCCGATGGCTATCTTTTCGGGCAGGGTCGTGTTGTCGAAGGTGAGAACCAGCAAGCTGGTGTCCCGTCGCTGGCCATCACGGAAGGTAGTCAGTCGTCGGATGTGGGACACTCCCTCTCCTCTCAGCTCGGACAAGATCTCAGCTTCGGACATGTGGCGGAGTTCGGGGGCGAAAATCGTGCCTTTAGAGGAGTTGCGAGCCTGGTGGAGAGAGACTGTCACCTTCTGACCACAGAACATGGTTGTCTTCAGGAGTGCTTTCGTGTCCCTTCGATTGTGTGTTTTGATGACGAGAGTGCCGTTAGCTGGAGCTTCTATGTCTTGGCCATGCTGTCCACAGATAGCAGCGATCTGCTTCTGAGGCCAGAAAACGTTAATCTTCCGGAAAGAGAAGTCGCTATCGGTAGCCTTAACAACCAGAAAGGAGCCGTCGAGAGACAAGTACGGTTCGAGTGGAGAGCGATCAACCGAATCACAGGCAGGTGCGTTGGCCAAGTTCGTGCGCGGGTCAGAGCTCCGGGAGTGGTCGGTGGACGGGCGAGGGTCATGGCTCCGGGCGAGGTCGGTAGACGAGCGAGGGTCAGAGTGCCGGGCGGGGTCAGAGGTCAGGTCAGCGGTCAGGGCGTGGTCAGTGGACGAGCGAGGGTCGGTACCGGGTAGATCAGTCGAAGGGTGGGTAGAGGAGGGAGGGTTAACGGTCGGGCGGGAGTCGGTATCCATGGCAGAGGGAGGAGTCGGATTCAGAGGGGAGTCAGAGTCGGAATCGGATAAGGAGTCGGATAGCGGGCGCTGACGGCGCCGCTTCCCCATCGTGGGGCAACTGGATGCGGTTGTGGGCAGTGAAGGAGAGTGGGTGGGACAACTGGTAAAAGGTTGGATGTGAGGGGTGGGGACGCGCGTAGGAGAGCTCTCAGAACAAACCCGTGAAATGCCAGTCGCTGAGCGAACTAACGATCACCTTAGCCTGTGGTTGTATTTCGCCACAAAATCGAGACATATATAGTTTTACATACGAACTTAGTTATCTAGTATTGCACACATGTTGGCGAGAACAACGAATGCAATAAACGAATACATATGGTTTTTAATATACACATAGCCAATGCAGCTGTCCAAACAATACAGCAGTTAAAGCGAACGGAACGTTAAAAGGGGAGCGCATAACTTAATCGAAGGCTTTAGCAATTTAGAGACTGGTAAAAGCGACACCTATTAGCAAAACTGTAACTCGCGGTTCACAGCATCTAGCGGTGACCGGCAGAGGCAACGGCCGACAGAAGCACATGGCTACACTGCTCTCCTAATTCAGTGAACTTTTTATGGCTATATCAGCAAAACATTGTTTTCAGCGCTTTTTCCTGCCCCATTCCTTCTGAAACCTGGAACCGCTTATTCCATTTACTCCTGCCATCTGACGATGGTCGTGCTGACTACTAGTTCCGGCGCTAGTTACTGCTCCAGTTTTGCACCCGGCACAAACTCAGGCGGCACCAGGCCGTGGCTCGACCATGGGGAGGGTCGGACCGAGCCGACTGCCTGGGGCGCGGTTAGATCGGACGCCCTGCTGGGGAAGGGGACGGGAGTGAGGGGGAGGGGAGAAGGTGGTCACGTGGTCCGTCCAAGCTCGCAGACGACCTGTCTTGCGCTCAGCCATGTTCCGTGATCCAAAATGGCACGAGAGCTGTGGAATGCCTGGAGGAGACGCTTCGAAAGCGAACTTCAGCAGCACTAATTTACCATATTCTGTGGAGATAAATTAATATTATCTTAATGCAGGAAAAAATTGTATGCCCAAGCTGTATAAGCTGTATCTTTTTAAAAGTTGTAAATATAATTATTTTTAGGGACATATAGGTTTCGTATACACAGTGAATTGTGTTACAATAAGCCGTTTCGCTGTTATGGTTACTAACTGAAGAGTTATCCTATTTTCTCACAGGGACTGACAATACAATAACAATACGAATAAAACCACACGTTTCGCACAAAAAAGTGCCTCCGTCAGTGGCAAGAAATAAGTAATTAGGCATACATGTTTTCTTTCGATAAAATCGATGTAGTAGTTATCTTTATTTTTTTAAAAGATATATTTTCAGCAGTTTTTTAAAGTAACCATCCCACCTTAACATTAGTTTTGAGTTGAGATAGCCAAATTGGTGGCCATGGCCTGCAAATACCGCGGTTTGGGCACTCACAACATCGAAAAATGCTTTAATTCGGAGATATGGAATTTCAAACTTGCAGTTTTCGGATTCTAAGGGGCTAATGCATTGAGATGCTCCCTTAGAATTTGTGACGTCAGCGGTGATCTAACGATTTTAAAACCTTATACTAACATCTTTGTAAAGCAGTGGTGGTATATGCTATTTGCGCGCAACATCTGCCGCGAACGCCGCACTTCCAAAATGAAGTCGCTAGGAACAGCGGAGATCCCAAAAAAGTAAACAAAAGTAAAAGTCTAATATCTTGAAAACCGGTGAATATTTTTCGGTGAAATTTGGTAGATATTCGTTTTTGCTCTTTCTGAATCGAGCGACATCACTTGCATGTCAATTCATTAACTTTTTTGAAGGTGGGAGGGTCCCTTTAAGCACATCATGGAAGCTTATAAACATTTGTGTATTTTATCGGCAACCCGGCTGGCCAGACCGAGACGGTGCCGCATTTAGTTCTCATCGATGTTAAACCTATATGTACACTTATTTATTTTTCTCCACTGACGAAGGCACGTTGTTGTCCGAAACGTTTGGTTTTATTCACATTGTTTTTATATTGTCATTGTCCGTGAGAAAAACATACTAATATGGACTGGTCTCAGTTCATATAGAAATTGTTGCACATTCATCAACACAGATAAAATGAATATTAGCCCTCACCACACACATAAGTAGAGGTAAGTAGACCGCGCCCCCTGTTTTTCATCAATAAATCGCGGCAAAGCCAAGGATGGCGCCGATTCTTTGGTGCCCTGGAGTTCATCAATTTTACAACTTCCCGGAAAATTAAATAGCCCTTATCATTTTTGCTTCTTGTCTGAGAATTTTAAATCCCTGAACCAAATTACCTTTAACCTGTAATTATTTTTCTCAAGATCATGTCAGGCCAGAATAGCAATTGAAAGTCAGCGCACATCTTCTGTGCGTTTCCATAGTCGTTTCGTGATTAGCAACGTGACAACATGTGAAATATACTATACTATCTAATGTTTGTCTCATTGACCGTAGTTGCGGCGCCCGCCACGGGCGGCGCTGGCCCGGCGAGCGGCGGTGACCCGACCGCTCGCCGGGTCAGTCTGGGCGCGTGCTCCGCCGAGTCACGTCCGCAGTGAGCAGTGAGTAGCCGCCGGTATTCGAGGCGGCTACGAGCCAATCCGTGCGGATGGCGGAAGTGGAGGAGCTCAAGTGTCAGGTGGCCTCTATCTCAGAGAGGTTTGACCGGCTCGAGGGTCTCGTCGAGAAGATCTCGAAACAGCTAAGTGCTTCTCAGTGCACAGAGCAAAGCGATAAAGACGACAATGTCGGTCGTCGACAGGTCGTCCCTGACGAGCAGCAGCATCAAGTGATGCCAAGTGCCGTGCTGGGTTCATTCAGCGAAGTGCAGGCCGAATTTCGGGCCATTCGCGACAGCGTCGCCAAGGTGAAGCTACCGCCAGACCTGTTGGTTGGCGACAGTCGTGCGGGCGTCAGCAGGGCAGACCTGCCGAGATTCAACATCATACAGAAGTCGGCGCGCTATCAGGAGACGGTACTCAAGCTCCTGTCCGCCTGCGATCCGGAGGACGCGGCGCTCAACCAGGTATCGGCTGTCAGCCTGGCACACCTGCGTTACCTGCAGGAGGAGTACACGCAACTTCTGGTATCAGCCCAGTTCGACGACGGGACGGCAAAGCTGTTTTCTACGCTACAGCAAAATCCGGCAGCTTTCACGCCGAACTCCCTCGAGAACCTTCAGCGAGCCGTGACCATCGCCGGGGCTCGGCAATCTCACCAGGTCAGTGGATCACGTGGTAGGGGATCTTTCCCGGCGTGGCGAGGCGCCCGCGGGCCCGGCCGCGGCTTCCAGTACGGCCCCCGGCGGGGTGGCGGTCCAGGGTTCCAGCCAGCGGACTGGGGTCAGCCACGTGACCGGTCTGACCTCGACCTGTCTCGTGGACGAGTTCAGCCCGGGAGGGGCTCGGGAGTGACATATGATAACTGACCGGAGTCTGTTCTACGCGTGTGAACAATGGGGCTCAACGTAGCAGCGTGGGAGCGCATCGGCGCTAACAGTGTAGTGATAGACTGGATTGCAAATGGTGTGCGTATTCCGTTCTCGTCCGAGCCAGAGCCGCGATTGTTTCAGAATCCCTCATTTGATAGTGCTCAGCGTAGGTTTCTCGATGCTGAACTGTCCGATTTGGTGCAAAAAGGTGTTGTGTCGGAGGTTCATGATGTGCCGTTGTGTGTCTCAGCGCTGAAAGTTGTTCCGAAAAAGAATGGTAAGCATCGTCTGATATGTGATCTGAGATATATTAATGCGCATTGTGATGTCCCACATTTTTCTTCTGAGAACGTGTCTGTGCTTGCCGAAGTTATGCGAGATAACGAGTGCGCAGTTACTATAGATCTAAAAGATGGGTTCTACCATTTTCCCGTTCATCCGTCGTTTAGAAAGTACCTCGGCTTCGCGTACGGAGGGCGCTGGTTCGTCTGGAATCGTTTGCCGTTCGGCTGGGCCAATTCTCCGTATTATTTTCACAAGTGCATTCGAGTCGTGATAGAATACCTGAGGCGCGATCATCACATGTCAATCATGGCGTATGTTGACGATTTTTTACTGGCCGCTCCCAAGTCACAGATATCGCAGCACTTACAAATTTGCATGGATACTTTTCGCGCGCTGGGACTGCATATAAATAGTCAGAAGTCGTCGCTCGAGCCTTCCGAGCAGGTTACCTACCTGGGTTTTGATATCCGCTGCGCAGCCGCTGACCGGCCGCCGGTTATTACCGTTCCTAAATCGAAGGTTGCAAAACTAAATCAGGATATTTCTCGCGCGCTGAAACGGACACATATTTCAGCTCGAGTTTTAGCTCGCATAGCAGGACGCTGCATCAGCATGCTGGCGGCGGTGTTTCCTTGCAAGCTGAAGCTGCGGAACGTTTATCGGCTTTTAAATTCCAGGCGATCGTGGGAAGACTTGCTGCTGTGGACGGACGAGGCAGTAGCGGACTTGCGGTGGTGGATCGAGTCGCTGGACGGCTGGAACGGCAGGGTGCTGCTGCCGCCGGCACCGTTCGATGTGCAGCTGAGCACGGACGCGTCGGCTTCCGGCTGGGGAGCGCTGCTCTCCGATCCGGCGGGCAAAGCCGCTTCCGGATTTTGGACCGTCTCGGTGAGCCACGAATCGTCCAACTTTCGGGAGAGGAAGGAGACTGAGAGGTAGAAATGTGTGCAGAGAGGATTATGGTGTGTTACTGCGGCGTGTAGTCGGCGACGCTCCAGACAAGTGCATTATGTTTATTGTTTTGAACAATACATGTTCATTCCGCCCGTGTCGGGCGCCAGCAACGTTGGTTTTCTGAAATTGTTGTGGGTGCCAAGGTCACGTGAAACTCAGGTTAAGGTCACTTACTTGAAATGATCTCGGTTAACTTCCTTAAATTTACACCTTTTTACTGTGGTTTTTAGGAAGTGTTGGTTTGAAATTTAGCACCCATTTTAGCATTTGAAAACTAGGCATACTTAGGTATCAGTTATAGTGCCTATGCAATATGTTGCAAGGCTGTAAGTGCTGGTTAACATTCTATGGATAGCCGGCAGAACGCCTAATGGGTGATCTGTCGTGACCCGTCCTACCCCAAATGCTTTGATACATCCGCTTTGATCAAAGCAAGTGCAAATTCGGAGTCAGAAGCAAGCCAAGTCCCAGCAAACTTTACTTGTAGAAATTCTAGCAGGACCCAATTTTCCGTGCTTTTGGGTTATTAACCTGATCTGGGAGGTCAACCAGTGACCTAGGATCTCAGCATTGACCAGGACATAAAAATAATTGGCTTTTTCTCGTCAGCGATGACCAGGACCCTCAAATCATCGGATTTCTCTCGTCACGAGCAGCTCGCTCTTTTTTTATTTTTCAGCGAAGCTCTGGCTCTTTTTATCAAGGGCCGAATGGCTGAGGGTTTCTTCGCCCCTCCGCTACATGTAAGACGCTGAAAAGAAATGCCTAAATGGGTGAGGGTTAAAACTTATATATCGATTGGTTTTTAAGTGCCGAATCCCGAAGCACTTTAATTTACTTCGATATCAGTTTTTAAGACCAACGAGCTCGAATACTATAACTTCTTGAACAATGTAAGCACCACATAAAATGAATCGTGAGAGAAGCGGCTGAAGATTAAGGAGCTATGAGACACTTAATAAAAAACGGCATAGATTAGAAACTGCACCTAACTTGCACTGGTTTTTAAACCTTTTAGTTGCAGACTGGTAGATTAATTTTAGGACTGATTTCAGCTGATGCTCAAATGGAGCTATTCATTCGTTCATTCATGCGACCATCCAATTCCATTCATAAAAGAAACCAGTGACAAAATTGTTCATTTTAGATAAGTGTGAAATACAAACTCAATAAAAGTTTAATGATACGGCAAATTTGACAGCTTTTATAATGAACAGACAAATAACTTAAACGAATCAAGGTTGAGAGCCCCAAATAGGGGAGAGTGAGGTAAGATGAGCCAAGGGGCAAGTTTAGCCACCCCATGTTTCTCAGCTCCTATGGCGCTAATTGACTTGAGCTTCCATGTGCCGTTGGCTTACGATGCTGCAGTCTTTCACGTGAGACGGCAACGTTCTCACGCTCAGCACCCGGTAACATGTGGTATCGCCCCTGATAACTAAGACATGTTTTGCCCTTAAAATGAGATGGTTGTTATCTGCCGTGCATGGCTATTTTCCTTAGGGGGTGTCATTAATCGAAAATGGCCACGGGTGGGGCAAGATGAGCCATTTTCACCTGGGGGAAGATGAGCCGGATAAGCCATTGTTATCTCCGCTGTCGAAAACCAAACTGAGATGCGCTTGTTTCTGCTGAATAAAAATGGTAGGAAATTGTTTTTCTTTGTTGATTACACAAGTTGTAAGTGATTTGCAGATTATCTGAAGGATAAAATGATTTCTTCCGTGATAAAAAACTTGAGTTATTGGAAGGCTTAAAACAGTCACTTTTTGGAGAAAAAAACTTTGCCATAAGTATGTATGCCATGGAGTAAATAAAAGAGACCACTCTTCGCCGCGCCCGGGAAAAGAAGAGGTTCGCTTTTTCTATCCATGCTCAACTTTCCCCACGACGTGTCACAACTTACCCCGCCCATGGGGTAAGCTGATCAACGTGCAAGATGATTTTTGACGTAGCCTTTCAGTATAAAAATAAGCGGTATGAAACATTTCTGGCCACCATTACATGCGCAATGACCACTCTGTCCATCCAACCCGTAAACGCAGAAAAATGATCAGTAAGAACTATTGAGCTCGAACCAAGGTGACGAATCGATTTATGGGTATGCAGGATGACTAACGATGCCACTTTTTGACTTCTTATGTCAAATAAATTCCATCATCTGGATAGCACGTCAACATTCTATTTGACATTTTACAACAAACGTATACTATTTGGCGCGACTAGCCTCATAAATGTTCTGAAACTAGAACCGTTTTTTCGCAATTAACTTGGATCACGTCATCCCAGCTTATGCACGACAAAAATAAAATAATGCTTCAGAATCACTGGCCTGAATTCCAATGCTTAGAGTTTACTCAAAACCGGTGTGGCGGAGGCACTCTTCGCTACATCTCGTGACGGCCACCATTGTGTTGCATTTTTTCGGTAAGCTATAAGTTAATAAGGAAAGGATTGGTGAGTGGGTTGAAAACAGCCCTCACCCTCCCCCCTCCTTCTTCTGGAAACATAAGTAACCGAAAGATCTGGCGATGGTTTATCCACCTCCTCTGCCGCCGCGCTGCGAGGCCTCGATTCGTTCGGTATGTGGCTTCCTGAGCGGTCCTCCCCAGAGGCAAGGTGAAAGGTCATGGCCTGTATCAGAAATTTATACGTTGCTGAATATGTTTTATAGTTCTTCCAAAGCCTTGGACACCGTTTTATTATATCGGATAAGCATTGCACTTTCTTGTCAATCAATACATTTAAAGAAAACTTGATCATAATCTTATACTGCGGCAATTGTAGTTCTGCTTACGGTTGCCTCTTTATGATACGGGCCACCACCACCTCCACTGCGCTGGAGCTCAGGCGTTCTACCCCTCCCCGCTACGGACCGGCCCTCGGGCTAGGTGTGTTAGTACTGAGCGCAAACCTGTAGTAGTCACGTGACTTTCATTCACGTAGCGGGAACGGAAGCTATAGGCGATACCAAGGACGGGCTCTGGGGAGGCAACCGGCGCGGAAAAATAGCACGATTGTAGTTTTGGAAGAATACCTGTTGCGGTAAGAGGAATTATACAAAACATACGTGCTAGGAGCAAACATGTGTTATTCCTCCATAATTTGCGCTACATTTCCTTTCTCCAATGGCCAGCACTTAGCAAATAATAGCGCAATTCTAAATTGGTAATATATGTGTACAGTAGCAACTGCGGGTCCCTGTACCTTGATGAGAAGCTAACATTTGGTGAACATGTAGATGTTACTGTTCGTAAGGCTAACAGGGCGCTAGGCGTGCTCATGCGATCATTCCAAACTGGCAAGCGTGGCAGGTCACTCCGTGAGTGCAATGTAAAGGCTGTGCTGGCTTCATACTGCGCAAATGTTCGTTCCATTCTTGAGTTCGCAGGCGTGGTGTGGGGAGGGGCGGCAGAGACGCACATGAAACGCATTGAGCGCGTTCAGCATAAGTTTTTGATGTGGCTGAGCGGTAGATGTCGAGACACAGACGTGTCCCTTGAGTACGACGCCCTGATGAAGCGCTTCCACATGGCCCCCCTCGCAGCGCGACGTGAACAGCATGACATCATGTTCATCCGCAACATTCACCGTCATGCTGTGGACTCGTCATACCTGTTGGAACAGTTTCCGCTGGCAGTGCCTCCTCGCCCGCTCCGGAATAGGACGCTGTTCCATGTGCCGCATGCTCGGGTCAACACGGTCAGAAATAGTCCATTCTGTCGCTTGCCGAAGCTTTGTAACGCGTTTCTCGACCGAAACCGGGCCATTGACATATGGAACCACAGCGCTCTGAACTTCAAAAAGCATGTGATCACCTATGTGCGTGAGAAGTAGACCAACAGAGGTGTGTTTGTGTCGATATTGTGTCTGTTTTGCATTGTTATTCACCTTGCTGCGTTTGTGTGTTTTTATTCTGATGACTTTGTCTATAAATGGGTCATCTTACCCGTGGATGATATGCTAAATAAACTAAACTAAACTAAACTACCTTAGTGTCTCTGACAAGGGTAGAGGGCAGATGTAAGTACTCGACAGAGTTATTTATCAAGCCAAACAACGCAGGCATTATCTTGCATTTTAAGTCCGCACATCCAAAACGGACCAAGGTCAATCTAGTTAGATCTCAATTCTTACGAGCCATCAAAATTTCCTCTGATGATCAGACTAGGGAGCGGAGTTTGAACAAGATTAGCGATTTACTTGACAAAAACGGATATCCTAGTAAGATGGTCAAAAGAATCAGAAGGGAGGCGCTGAGGGTGACAAATGCGTGCAACCTTAGGAATGGACGCAGTCGTAAGGACCGGAGGAGGTCAGATGATAGACAGGAAGCCCGCGCTTTCCTTACGCTTCCTTATTGTTGATGAGACGGTGCTGTGTAAGGTAAAGAAAGCGGTTAAAAAGTCAAAGTTGAATGTTCATTTAGGATGGTACGGCTCTAGCACTCTTAAAAAATCCCTTGTCTCTTCAGATCTCACCAAGCCTCCTTGCCCCGCTGGCTCCAGGGCATGTCCGACGTGTTTGGCCATATCGGGTGGGAAGTGCACAGACAAAAACGTTGTGTATGAAGTGACATGCGAAATTTGCGGTAAAACATATATAGGAGAAAGCAAAAGACCGGTCAGGCTAAGGTTCAATGAACACATTAGGAGCATGTTGGCTGACACTGAAAATACCCCTCTCGGGGATCACTTCCGGACTGAGCATGAGGGAGTGATAAAAAACAAGTCTCTGCTTCGCATTTCGATCCTTCAGAGAACGCGGGATCACCCAGACCGGAAGATAACCGAATCGCTGTTTATTCGTGATAGGAAACCTGCGCTGAACGAGAATTTGATGTCCTGGCCACTGCTATAGACTCGCTGACCTGACCTGCCACGATAGTCTTTTGTTGATGTAGTCTGCTTGAGCCTTAACCTTCGCCCCAGTGGGGGGGGGGGCATATGTTACCACCCTGTCACGTTTTTTGCGTGTAAATAAAAAACCGCGGCGCGTAGCGCCGCGCCGCTTGGGGTAGCTTTTGGTACATCAATTTTGGACAATGTGTGAAATTTTTGACCCCAGGTCATGTCAGGTCAGGTCACCAGGTCAAGTTAATTGACCAAGCC